AGGTACTCCATGGTTATGTACCATGCCTTGATAGTCCTCATTTATACAGGACTGGTTAGAAACTGAACGTATCCTGTTGTTAGTCACCAGCGTAGGGTGAAAGTACTTCTGGTACGTGATTTGATGATCACGTCCAGCTTGAATGGATCTATCAAAAAGCTTAGAGAAAACAAGAGGTAAGAAAAGAAAACTGCCGTTGCGAAACTGTCGGTTGAAGAAACGCTACAAGCCTGGTTATTTGTAGTGGCTCTTCATAGACTATGGCCTTCTTTATTTTATTGAACACAATATCCTTTTACTTTCCCGCTTTCCGCTTAGCACAATACGATTTTGTTGTTGAGTACTGCGTTGTATTTTCATTCTGAGTTTTAGTGTTGGATTGGACTATTACTTCGGGGATTTGGATACGTGACGAGTTACTAGTCCGAGTGCGAATTATAACACTTTTATCACTATGTAGGCAATAATTTTGGAGTTCACGGTGAGGCTCACTTCAAATCAAAGTTCTTATATCCAGATAGAGGTAGTAGATGCTATGTGCTGGGCAGCAAAAAGCAAAGCGCAGAGCTGATGAGTTAGTACGCTATGGAAAGCAGATCAAATAAATTATCCCGTTACATTTTCAGCTTACAGACAATGCTTGTTACAGAGTTTCTGGTGTTGAATTCAAGCCTTCCACCCAGTGCCTGAATATATACGAAAGTGCGCGTTGACAGGATGTAAAGAAGAAAACTCTGCATGGTCTTCACCGGCAAAACATCACGCGGTCCCGAAAGAGTTGTCACCATGCCTTAAGCAACGGGGTTGAATAATGTGTAAATATAAATATATCACTACTTGAGATGTATTGACATGAATACGAATCTCCGGAAACGAGCTTGTTCGTCCCTCTGTTGTTTTGTTTCAAATGTGTTCTGTGGGACTATTTCGATAAAATAGAAATATCACTGGTCAAACGAATATTAAGGAATCACCGTTCGCGTTCTTCGAGTCACACGGCTTCTGTTTGCACTGACTGTTGACTGAAGGATACTGTTGGCTCATGACCCGATTTCCATCAACTGGAACGCTCAGGCACTTGGTTGGCGTCAGCTCGGAGGGCTGATCCACCACAAATCCGCCCGCTCAAAAGAGTGTTTTCTATTTGACTTGCTCTTGGGAGCTATTTTCTAGTCTTTTCGTTTGGCATTTTAGGAGCACTGGAATGCTGGTTTCGGATTTCGGTATGTGGAATTTCCGGGTTAGTGGAATTCTTTCTCAGGCCGGCTGATTCATCGGAATAGATCTGTGCATTTCGATGTAAATGACCTGACTTTTAGTCGAGTCAGTACATACTTGTTCAGTTCAACGAAACTTTCTTCAGCCTCGTTGTGCTCCGTATACTTACATTGAAGTAGGACATTTTCAACCGTTCTTCTAACTCCGACATAGTCTTTGTAACTGCAAAAACGCGAGTGCACCGGTCCGAGCGAAACGAAAATAACTTGGTTACATCCGTCCAATCAAACTACTCTTTGCTCAATCTGCATAGCAATGATCAAACCTCAGAGCAACGCGTAGCCCAATGTAGTCGAGAAACCAATCGATCCGAAGTAACCTACGGTACTATTATTGCGATTTTCACAATAATCACCACCCCAGATTGTCGAGCTTATTTTTGTTCTTTCCAGATTGTCTCGGGTTTTCCTGCTTTCTTGGAAACACTGGGGTCTATAAAAACAGGGGACAATTTGGTTCCGGCAATGGTTGT